TAAATACTGTTCATTTAATTTAAAAACCCATGTCCCCAAAAATTATAGCTACTCTTTACATGTGCTTGTTCTTTTCTGCCCTTTCTGAGTCTGGGTTTAGGAGGACATCACTAATTTCCAAGCCAACAAATTTATTACATGAAGATAAAAGGTATAAAGAAGAACTTTTTAAAATTGGGATGTTTGAATGTGTTTGGATGTAGCGCAGATGATAAGAAAGAAGTGATGCTCCAATACTGAAACTATGTATAGTGCCAAAACAAAAGCATTCACATTGCTAAACTCACGAATTAGTATTTAGTCACTTAGCCATAATACCAACTTACCTCATAATTTTGTAATATTTTAAACTTAAGATTTAATCTAAGTCTGCCCGAAATGCCTAGCCATGCTAGGTGTTCTAGTGGTACCTTGTAATTATTATTTTACTACATGTAAACCACACAATAACCAAATTCTGTAAACTCAGCATTGTAATCCTTATAGAGAATAAACTTTGAATTTGAATTTGAATTTGAATTGCAAAGGTTGTGAATGAAAGGAAGTTCGATGTCCTAGCCCTAAGTGAAACAAAGCTGAAGGGGGTAAGGGAGTTTCAGTGGGAAAAAATAAATGGATTAAGTCAGGAGTATCTGAGAGAGTTAGTGCTAAGGAAGGGGTAGCAATAATGTTAAAGGATCAGTTATGGAGTGAGAAGAGGGAATATAAATGTATAAATTCAAGGAATATGTGGATTAAAATAAGGATCGGATGTGAAAAATGGGTCAGAATAAGTGTGGATGTACCTGGAGAAGAGAGGAATGTAGAGTAGAGAGATTTTGGGAGATGTTAAGCAAGAGTGTGTAGGAACTTTTGAGCCAAGTGAATGAGTAATTGTGTTAAGGAACCTAAATGGGGAGCATTTGACTGAACTTTGTATAGAAAGGGGTCTGGTTATAGGTAACACATATTTTAACCCTTTCAGGGTCGACAGGCCCTCTCCTAAACTTGTTCTCAGGGTCGAAAAATTTTCAAATTGAAAATTTAAAAAAAAAAAAACTTATGAAATGATAGAAAATCTTTTCCCGATCATAATGACACTAAAAGTATGAAATTTGATGGAAAACTTACAGAATTATGCTCTCGCGAAGTTAGCGGTCTCAACAATGTTTACGCATCGGCGATTTTGCCCACTTTGAGCCCTATTTTTGGCCAATTCCAATGTACCAGTCGACAAAAATCATAACTATTTTGCTAGAACTCCATTTTTCTATCAAATGAGTACATGAAACCACCCATTTACTGATTTCAACTATCCAATAAAGTGGTCAGAAATTAGCAATTTTGCCAATGTCACACAAATTTCAAAAGATGCCCATTTTCAAATAGGGTCCAGAATAAACAAGACAGACATTCCTTGAACTAAAATAATTTTTTTCTGTTCATTAGTCACATCCCCAGACCTCTGTTACATTTCTTTTGCGTTCCACTTTGAATATTTATTCTCGCAAAAAAATAGAAGATTTACTATTATGCAGATTACTGCATTAGTGCAGAAATAGTATAAATAATATCAGCGCACTTGTGAGAGAATATTAGATTCACCAGTTGATGTGTATTGGACGTGTGGCATGATTTGTTTACTTTTGAACTTCGGCAAAAATCAAACATTTGCTACTTTGAGCTCAATTTAAAGGGTACTTTCACTGTGAAAACCAATCAAATCATCTCAATTTCTGTAATATTGTCTTCCATTCTATAAAACGAGACCAGGAGACAAATTACAACCATAAAAATCAAAATTTCACTGCAAATACAAAATTCACTAAAAGTTGCTGTTTTAAAGCAAAAACACGGTTGAAGTTTTTTTCTCTTCTTTAAACGCACTGTGTGCGCGGGATTTTTTTTTACATGCACAATGACCAATAGACCCATTTTTTCATGTGTGGCTACAGCTTTCTCTCGCTGTGGATTTGAAGGCGCTAGAATTTATGGTACTAGTAGGCACCAACCCTGTAAGGGTTAAAAAAAGAGGAAAAATTTTAAGTATACAAGATATGGGGTAGGGCAAAATGACGTAGTTTTTTGGGACTACGTATAGGTAGAAAAAAGATTGTTGGGTAGACTTCGGGAGCACATGTTTATAGAGGGGCCACAGTATATAGATCACTTTTTTTGCACCTCAGTGAGAGTAAAAGGTATATGGGATAAAAGGGAAAATGGAAGCAGCAAGTAGAGAAAGTGAGGTTTATGACAAAGGAGGAAGCAGTTAGGGTAAGATATAAACAACTGTTGGGGGGACAGATGGGCTAGTGAGAATACGAATGGGAGAAGATGTTTGGGAAAGTTTAAGAATAATACAATGCTAGAGAGTGGTGGATGAATGATGTAAATAGATTTATAAGAAGAAAAAGTTAGAATGAGTAGTTAGGGCAATGTAGAAGTGATGCAAGGAGGGAGAGTATATGGAAGAGAAAGAGAGGTTAAAAAGAGTGGGTGAAGCAATGTAAAAAGAGAGCAAATAGAGAGGGGGTGAGATGTTATCAAACAAATTTGTAAAAATAAGAAAAAGTTTTGGGAGTGAGTTAATAAGCTGAGAAAGCTAGGAAAAGATGGATTTGTTAGTTAAAAATAGGAGAGGAGAGTTATTAAATGGAAGTTAGGGGTTATGGGAAAGTTGGAGCAGGATGCAAATGAACAAGGAAGCTTAGGAAAGGTGTGTGGGCCCAAGTGTTTGCAGTAAAAAAAACAGGTGAACAGTATAAGGGTAAAGAGGTTTTTGTGGCATTTATGGATTTGGAAAAGGGTATGACAGGGTGGATGAGGGGGCAATGTGGCAGATGTTGCAAATGTATGGAATGGGGAGGTAGGTTGTTGACAGCAGTGAAAAGTTTTTACAAGGATAATAAGGCTCAGGTTAGAGTGAGGCATGAGGGGCTTTAAATTTCCCAGTAAAAGTAGGCCTTAGACAGGAATGTGTGATGTCCCCATGGTTTTCAATATATTTAAGAGGGAGAGTAAGAAAAGTGAATGCTCGGATGTTGGCAAGAGGTGTGGGGTTAAAAGATAAAAAATCTAAACAAAGTGGAGTTATCCCAGTGCTCTTTTGCGATGAACGGGTGCTTTTGGAGATTCTGAAGAGAATTTGCAGAGTTGGGTGGGAGTCTGGTAGGGTATGGAAAGAAGGAAATTAAAAGTGAACATTGGGAAAGGGGTAAGGTGATGAGGATAACAAAAAAATTAGGAAATGAAAGACTGGATATCAGATTGGAGGGAGAGGGATGGAGGAGGTGAAGGTATTTAGATATTTTGGGGGTGGATGTGTCAGCAGATGGGTCTATGAAGATGAGGTGAATCACAGAATTTTTTTTTTTTTTTTTTTTTTTTTTAACAAAACCGGCCATATCCCACCAAGGCAGGGTGGCCCAAAAAGAAAAAAAGAAAGTTTCTCTTTTTAAATTTAGTTTAAATTTTTCGGGAGAAGGGGTTACTAGGCCCCTTGCTCCTGGCATTTTAGTCGCCTCTTACAACACGCATGGCTTACGGAGGAAGAATTCTTTTTCCACTTCCCATGGAGAAACACAGAATTGACAAGGGAAAAAAGGTGAGTGGTACACTGAGGTGTCTGTGGAGCAAAGAACATTACCCCTCGAAGCAAAGAGGGGGAATGTATGAGAGTATAGTTATACCAACGCTTTTTATTTTGGGTGGAAGCATGGGTGGTGAATGTTGCAACAAGGAGAAGGGTGGAGGAAGTGGAGATGTCATGTCTGAGGGAATGTGTGGTGCGAATATAATGCAGAGAATCCATAGTTTGGAAATTAGGAGAAGGTGCTGAATTACCAAAACTATTATCCATAGGGATGAGGAGGGGTTGCTGAGGTGGTCCGGACAAGTAGAGAGGATGGAACAAAATAAAATGACTTTGAGAGTGTTAACAAGTGGCTAGTAACCCTTTTCCCGTATCATATTACTAAATGTAAAAGGAGAAACTTTCATTTTTCTTTAGGGCCACCCACCTCAGTGGGATACAGCCGGTGTGTTGGAAAGAAAAGAAAGAGAGTGTATAAATCTGTAGTGGAGGGAAGGCAGGGTAAGGGTCGGCCTAAGAAAGGTTGGAGGGAGGGGGTAAAAAAAAGGGTTTTGTGTGTGAGGGGCTTGGATTCCCAAAAAGCATGTGTGAGCATGTTTGATGGAGTAAATGGAGGAAATGGTTTTAGGACTTTAGTGCTGTTGGAGTGTAAGCAAAGGGAACATTTATGAAGGGATTCAGGGAAACTGGCAGGCCAAACTTGAGTCCTGGAGATGGGAAGTATAGTGCCTGCACTCTGAAGGAGGGGTGTTAATGTTGCAGTTTTTTAAAATGTAGTGTAAGCACGCCCTGGCAAGACAGTGATGGAGTGAATGATGATGAATGTTTTCTCTGTTCTGGGCCATCCTGCCTTGGTGGGAAGCATCTGATGTGTTAATAAAAAAATTGTAGACTTAATATTTACACTCTTGTTGTCACAGTCTCCCACTGCTCATGTCTGGAACATATGCACAGTCACCCTCCTACTTTGCCTGCCTACCTTTCTCCCTCCCTCACTCCAACTGCTCCCTCCTCCATTCTCCCACTCACTTTTTACACACCCTCCACCGTCACTCCCCTTAAGACCTTTTTATCACCCTGTCTTGTCTCTGGGCTGATGCCCATCCACACGAGCCAACCACCGTATGAGTAATGTATCCAAAAATTATTATAACTCAAGACTATCATACTCAAGGACCACTATATATTTTGTGTGAGTGATGGTGAAAGTGTTTCTTCTCTTTTGGGTCACCCTACCTCGGGTGGGAGATGGCCAGTGTGTTAAAAAATAAATCTAGAAATAAATATAAATGCAGGAAAAATAACAGAGTACAGTAAAACAATGAAGAATTTCTCTTGAAGGCATTACCTGAGAATGAATACCTGAAAAATTTCTAACTTTAACAAAAGCAAAAGACTAGCTATCATATAAACCTGTCTTAATACATACTGGTACAGCAGTTGCAAAAGCCATGGGTACGGTAAATGATGCAAGGGCTGTGCGGCTGTATTGGACGGCTGGAGCAATAATAACAACTCCCAAAGTATGTAACAGTGGACAAAAGGCTTCATCAATGCCACCAAGACCAACAACTGTGACCCAAAAACAAAGCAGTGAGAAGAAGAAGTCTGTAAACTGAAGCACCTCATATTTGGTCACACAATACGCAACCACCTGTAAAAAATAAAATAAGAATTTACAATCCTAGTGATATCTTGTACAAATTATCCTTATATGGTACATATAGATTAAAATGTCATGTTTGAAAGCAATGTGCAGAGTGAATATTATGCAAATGGTTTGGAGTGTAGAAATTAAAAGATGGTATGAGGTGAAACGGTATACTTCAGAGGGCTAGATTTGCTCAGGTGCTTTGGACAATTAGAATGGATGGAGAGCAATAATATTATGAGGAGGATTTTTTTTTTTTAACATGTCGGCTGTTTCCCACCAAGGCAGGGTGACCAAAAAGGTAAGAAAAAACTTTCAGCATCATTCAACACTTTCACCATCACTCATTCGTAATCACTGTCTTTGCAGAGGCACTTCGACACGACAGCTTAGACGTCCCTCCAAACTGCCAATATCCCAAACCCCTCCTTTAAAGTACAGTGGACCCCCGCTTAACGATTACCTCCCAATGCGACCAATTATGTAAGTGTATTTATGTAAGTGTGTTTGTACGTGTATGTTTGGGGGTCTGAAATGGACTAATCTACTTCACAATATTCCTTATGGGAACAAATTCGGTCAGTACTGGCACCTGAACATACTTCTGGAATGAAAAAAATATCTTTAAACCCGGGGGTCCACTGTATAGGCATTGTACTTCCCATCTCCAGAACTCAAGTCCAGCTAACAGTTTCCCTGAATCCCTTCACAAAATATTACCCTGCTTACACTCCAACGCTCATCAGGTCGTTAGGTAAGACACATATGCAACAGTTAGGTATCTTTATTTCGAAATAAAGATACCTAACTGTTGCATATGTGTCTTACCTAACAACCTGTCGGTATTTTATACCATTTTAATGTTCAGCTCATCAGGTCCCAAAAACCATTCGTCTCCATTCACTCCTAACATGCTCACACACGCTTGCTGGATGTCCAAGCCCCTCACCCACAAAACCTCCTTTACCTCTCCCTTCAACTTTATGGGGCCGACCCCAACCCCGCCTTCCTTCCCCTACAGATTTATACACTCTCCAAGAGTATGAATCTAAAATGGAAGGAAGGAGGGGTGGGGATGATCACAGGAATGGTTGGAAGGGGGGAGGAATTAAATGAGAGACAGCAGGCTTCTGTGGGTGTTTTAGATAAGAGGAAATGGAGAAAAATTATTTTTAATGGATATGCTGTTGGAATGTGAGCAAGGTAACATTCATGAAGGGACTCTGGGAAAATAGTTAGGTGGACTTGAGTCCTGGAAGTGAGAAAGACAGTGTCTGCACACTGACAGAGAGGTAGGATGTTGCAGTCCAAGGGCAATCTGAATCTTTTATGCTTATAGCCTTGATGTTATCTTCTACCTCATCACACATCCTCCTCCAGTACTAGCAAGTGTTGATTGAGATTGTTTACATCTTACAGCTTCTCGCTAACTAAAATGATGCCATATCTTCTAGACTTTGGGAAGGACAGGGGTTCATATTCTGAGGGAATAACAAGAAAAATTTTACAATCCTGTTAATGATCTCTTACTAGGAGCAGCATCAAATTTATTTACAAAAAACTACTGCATTAATTTCCTTCATCTTGTAAATGCACCCCGACCACTGATGTTTCACAATATTATTGATAATAAATGATCTCTTAACCCTTTGACTGTTTCGGTCCTATACATACGTCTTACGAGCCAATGTGTTTGACGTATATATACTCAAAAATTCTAGCGTCTTCAAATCAAGCAGGAGAAAGCTGGTAGGTCCACATGTGAGAGTATGGGTCTGTGTGGTCAGTGTGCGCAGTATAAGAAAAATCCTGCAGCATGCAGTACATGAGAAAAAAAAACTCCGACCATGTTCATTGGATTAAACGCTGACTTTGAGGTGTATTTTCATATAGTATTTATGGTTGTATTCTTGTTTCCTTGATCTCATTTGATAGAATGGAAAACATGTATAAAATATAGAAGTGATTTTGATTGGTTTACTAAGAAAGGATCTTGAAAATGGAGCTCAAAGTGGCAGAAATGTTGGATTTTTGCCGATGTTCAATAGTAAACAAATGACGTCATTGTCCAATAAATGTCCAACTAGCCATTCTAATACGCAGTCATGAATGGATTGACATTATTTACACAATTATTACAATATTACAGTAGTCTGCATAACAGTAAATCTTCTATTTTTTGTGTGAATAAAAATTCAAAATAGAAAGCAAGAGTATTGCAACAGGGGCCTGGAGACGTGACTGATGAACAGAGAAAATGTTATTTTAGTGCCAGGAATGTCTGCATTGTTCATTCTGATTTATTTTTTAATTTGCATGAAATTGGTCAAATTGCCAATTTCTGACCACTTTATTGACTAGTTGAAATCTGTAAATGGGCAGTTTCTTGTACTCAGTCGATAGAACAAATGGAGTTCTAAAGAAATAGCTTTAAGTTTGGTCGACTGGAACAAGGTAATTGGCTGAAAATAGGGCTCAAAGTGGACAAAATCGCTGATGCGTAAATGTCGCCGAGGTCGCTAACTTCGCGAGAGCATAATTCCTTAAGTTTCCATAAAATTTCATATTTTTGGTGTTATCATGGGGAAAAAGATTCTCTATCATTTCACAAGATTTTTTTTTTTTTTCAAATATTTTGCGACACCGGGAGACACTTCAGGATTTGGGGTTGCAACAGTCAAAGGGTTAATCTATAAAAGGCCCCAGTAGACATTCATTACTTTAAAATAGTGCATAGCTTGTGGACTGAAACCAAACTGACATGGGTGCAGTACATTGTGCTTTATAATGTTGGAGTTATTTTTGTTTGTATGCTATTGTCTCAAATAATTTTGTTGTATTGGTAAATCTGAAAACTTGTCTGTAGTGGTTTTATATCAATGGTATCCTCACCCTTTGTGAACTGGTTTTAACCCTAGCTTGTTTGTGCAGGCCTGAGACAGTCTGAGTTTCAAGAAATTAGTTAAAGTGTTGCAATGACTGGCAAGAGCATATGCACAGCTTTTTAACCCTTTGACTGTCGAAGGGCCCAATCCTGAAGTGTCTCCTGGTGTCGAAAAATATTCGAAAAAAAAAAAATTTATTTTTTCTTATGAAAATGTTAAGTTTAATTTTCTGATTGTTTTAGTCCCAAAAAAAAATTTTTCCCATCAGTTTTACCGAGATTATAGAGTCCTGAAGTTTGCTGAAATTGATCTGCTGGCGCAACAGCGGCGACTGCCGCTAAAACCGGTAAACTTTTATTTACTTGTATTCGAGGGTTTTTCTTGTTTTTTTCACTATTTTATTTTTTCACATAACTTTTGTGGCCTGTGAGACCAAATTATTGAGCAATGTTCAAATATACACTCGTTAAATGTAACACAATTATAGCAAAAACACTCGTATCATTATAATGTTGCTAAAACTTGTTTACACAAACAATGTAAACAAATGTTTATTACAATTGCTTTATAATATAATACATATGTACAATCACTGGACACTTTATTAGAAGTGCTGCAGCTTGTGGAATTCTTTGAAACAGGGGTATAAGCACAATGGTGTCTTACACTCCTCACACATAAAACGAGTGTCTCTGCGTTTATGTGGGCGTTTGTGGTATGTCCACAGCAAAACACCTCTTCTGAGCATTTTTCTTGCAGTAGTAGCAGGCAGTGGTATGGGGTAGTGATCACCAGGCCTCAGACGAGAGGACATGTGTTGATAATTTCGTGGGTGCTGGTCTATGCAGGTGTTGTTTCTTGGTACTTGAATATTATTTGTCTGATGACTGACAAACAAAATTCACCATATTTGGGTTTGTTCTTGGTCTTCAACTTATACATATTATAAGCATTCGCATGGAAATGTCAAGAAGATGGAAAAACAGTTTTATGTACCACTTATAACTCTTGGGCGAACACAGTCAGCAAACCCAATCTGCATGTCACATTTGTCCACTAAGCGCATATTGGGGTTTTGTAATCCATCACAGCTGCAGGTTTTACAAAGGTTCATTGGTCTCTCTATTCTGCTTCCCAGTCTCTACCATTTCGTGTCGGTGGAACTGATGTCAGCAGTGTGAAAATCTACGTTTGTCATGCCACCGAAATGCCATGATGTCATTGGCAGCAAACACCTGCATTTCACCTCTACGAGTGCCAGCTTCGAACCTAGGCATATGTTTACGATTTCTACGCACTGTCCCAACACATCTGTCATGTTAAACTCGCAAGAAATCAACTGAGTATAGGGCTTGTGTACCAGTTGTCAGTATATAAAATATGCCCCTTACCAAATATGGCTCCATCATTGTTCTAAACCACATCACCAGAGATACCCAGTAACTTCCTGTATCTTCCATTTTTTACCGCCAGTGTACACAATTATATCCAAAACCAACCAGTTTGCAAAACACACAGAACAAATAACTTTATACCAAACATTTCCTCTTGTGGTTATACTGCTTGAATGAGAGTCTTCCTTTGAACAAAATCAAAGACTCGCAATAACAAGCTTCCTGAAGGGATAAAAATACATACAGCACTTTTGTTTCAGGTACATAAACACACGTCTGATTTTATAACCTGTCGCTTCTGTCAGGCCTGGTTTTGTCTGAAAAGTGTAAACATACGTAAAAAGTAACACCCAAAACTATTCACTGGTATAATGTCACGAAAGCAGGGGAAATTCCCGGCGGGCTGTCGCCCAGTATGGTTGACACTATGCTTAAACACATGTGGCATAAGAAAAGTGGCAAAGAACAGATAATCCTGCCACAGTTTTCCTTCCACGGTGTAGGGTTTTATCTTGGGGAAAGCCCTAGTGTTTGCCATGGTTTTACTCATGTATGTATTGCTTTCCTGACAATAATGTCCCTCTGGGGTTCTCGAAGAACAACTGAAAGCATTCCAGTTCAGTGGATTGTTCCAAGTGTACATGATGGCAAATTTCCCCTTTGTCCTCCACAAGTAAGGGATTCGGGAACAAACTCGTCATCTTGATGCATCCCAGATGCGGTCAGCTGGTGCGTTCTGGATATTGTAATGTCCATTGTGTTAAGATAATAAGATAAGATTCGTTCGGACTTTTTAACCCCAGAAGGTTTGCCACCAGGAAACCCAAAAAGTCAGTGGTCATCGAGGGGCTGTCACTTTTTTCCATTGGGGTCCTTTCTTGTCCCCCAGGATGCACCCACACTAGTCGACTAACACCCAGGACCTATTTCTGCTAGGTAACAGGACAAAGGGGTAAGAAACGTGTCGAATGTTTCCACCTGCCGGGGAATCGAACCGGGCCCTCCGTGTGTTTAAAGCGGGAAACTTTAAACCACCAGGCCACCGGGCCTGTTGTGGTTGTGAGAGGGGGGTTCGCCGAAGGGGTTGTAGTTGTGCAGAGTCAGCTCGCGGCACTAGCGTGGCCCGGGTGGTGTCACATGACTCATGGCACCGTCACTATCACCACCACCGCCTGCTGCCCCACCCATCTTATACCCCCATCGTAACAATATGTCATCTTTACTACAGGACGTGGTAGGCCAAAGGGATGTGCTCGAATGTACTCCTTCCTTTGGAAGAGCATATGGCAAAAACTCCAGCCGCATGCGACGTCGTATATTATCCGTTTCACTGGGGAATATTCACCCTCACGTAAACTAGAAGTGCTTTCAATAACCTTGAAACACTATCCCCTATCCTTGCACTGTCACATCTGAGTCTTGTACACGGGCAAATGTTTCCTCTTTGTCCTGGGACAGGGAATATGAACGAGCCCGGCCAGCACCAGAGGTGATGGGTTGGGGGAATCTGGGTTTCATCACAATTATGTTTTCCTGGGTAATTTTCCGGTCACACCGCTTCAAAACCGGGAATTCACTTTCACTGACCCTATCCATTCACTGTTTGAGCTATCACTTGGGAACAAAGACCTCCAATCCGCCGGGATGAGAACTTCTACGCGAGCATGGAAAATGGCTACCAAGATGGCGTTCCACATGCCCGCTGAGTCCCAGATTTTTTCACAGGGTAACACCGACATGAGGACCCATTCTCTCTCGTGTAGGCCTACCAAACCCTTCTCCCGCTTGGATTTGAAGCCGCTAGAATTTATGCGTTAGATACGAAAACACGGGATCTCCCATGACTTACAAAACGACCGGACTCAAAAGGGGAAAGTTAAAAGCATTTTGGGAAAGGTAAATTACAGTACTTAAGGCACTTTAAATGAATACACATTTGTTTACCTTTCTAAAATTATTTTATTTGTGACATGATTAGATCTATATGAAGTAAAATATAACATAATGGCTGTGAGATCAACTTACTTCATTGTCACAAGCATGGTAGAATATTGATGCTATCATGGTAGCTGTGAATAAAAGAGCTTGTGAGTACAAGTGTCTGCGTGCAGCTATAATAGTAGGAGGCAAGAAGAATATGTTGCTAAGGGTAAGCAAACACAGTCCAGTGATGACAGTGTCCCAGCCCTGAGCAGCTTCTCCATCTTCACAACCCCATCCTTGCCAACCAGCTGAACAAACCTGCAAACCAAGAATACTTATTAAACAAAGTAACAATAAAAAAATAAAAGGCATTTTGATATTTTGTAGTAAATCTATTAGAGAAGCGAAAGTACAGAAAAGATTACGAGCGAAAGTATTTTCTTCTTAAATTAGTACATAGGATCACTTAAATGCACTTAGTTATCTAATCATGATCAAATGGAAAGCAAAAATGTTTAATGACTCACCACCATAGAATACTTAAAGATACAGTAAAAGTCTGATAAAACAAACCCTCATCAAGTGGATGTCAGATAAAACAGACAAAAACATGGCGGGACAAAGGCTCAACATGTACATTTAATGGAATGTCTGATAAAAATAGCCATGAAGTGAAGCAAATCTACAATATTGAATGGTTGTCTAATTTGGCCATCCACTCAATAAAATGAACTAATTCCGCTTAATCACAAGTTTATTCTGTCCAGGATTTGTCCAGGACTTATCCATTTTCATTGTGGTAGTAGACAAGCCTCTTGTATTCAACTGGAAATTATGTTGCCAGTGAAAAAATAATTATCTACAAGAAGTGCAGACAGGGCAGGGCAGAATTTCAATATCTGGTCCCTTTCTTTCTTTTTATGCTAGAATCCTCATTACCTATAATCATAATCAAACCTGTAATTCTTTAAACAATTAAAACTGATAGAAGCCAATAAGCATGTACTAATAGGATACAAAGACTTCCTTACATATGAATATTTATACGTACTGTGAACTTTCGGTAATACAAACAATTTGCCCAGGCCAACACCTTCTCAATGTTTTATTAAATTTATATTACAGCCTCTCTTCACTTAGCAATGTGCTCGTTTACTGATGACTAGGACTTATGACGGGCTCTCTGTCCAGTATGCATACCTAAATAATGTATATTAGAGCTGATTTTCTCTATTCTGTTTATTAAAATATACAGTACACCACTGTATAAACATTCAAAAATATACTAAAAATTTTATAAATGGTACAAGGTGACATTAAAACAATATCAAAGATGGGTGACACACCCACCACCATTATAGCATGCTCCTCACTCAGCGACGAATTCGTTTACCAATGTGGTCTTAGGAATGAAACTCCATTGTTAAGTGAGGAGAGGCTGTATTTACAAATTCTGTTATTTTTTTTATTAACACATCAGCTGTTTCCCAACAAGGTAGGGTGGCCCAAAAAAGAAAAACTTTCACCATCATTCACTCCATCACTGTCTTGCCAGAGGCAGGCTTACACTACAATTACAAAACTGTAACATTAACACCCCTCTTTCAGAGAGGAGGCACTGTACTTCCCATCTCCAGGACTCAAGTCTGGCCTGCCGGTTTCCCTGAATCCCTTCATAAATGTTACTTTGCTCACACTCCAACAGCACGTCAAGTATTAAAAACCATTTGTCTCCATTCACTATCAAATATGCTCACGCATGCTTGCTGGAGGTCCAAGCCCCTCGCACACAAAACCTCCTTTACCCCCTCCAACCTTTCCTAGGCCGACTCCTACCCCGCCTTCCCTTCACTACAGATTTATACACTCTCAAAGTCATTCTATTTTGTTCCATACTCTCTGCATGTCCGAACCACCTCAACAACCTCTCCTCATCCCATTTTGATAATAATTTTGGTAATCCCACACCTCCTCCTAATTTCCAAATTACAAATTCTCTGCATTATATTCACACCACATATTGCCATCAGACATGACATTACTGCCTCCAGCCTTCTCCTTGTTGTAACATTTACCACTCATGCTTCACACCTATATAAGAGGAATAGTATAACTACTCTCATACATTTCCCTCTTTGCTTTCATGGACAAAGTTCTTTGTCCATGTTATAATGTTTATAACAAATTTTGTTATAAACATTACAAGCTTTATTTCATTTATAACACATGTTTTATTTTATTTATTTTATTTTATTTCCTGTGTTCAAAGTCGGTACCTGACCAGCCGGGCTGTGGCTCGTATGTTGGATTGCGTGCAGCCAGCAGTAACAGCCTGGTTGATCAGGCTCTGATCCACCAGGAGGCCTGGTCACAGACTGGGCCACGGGGGCATTGACCCCCGGAACTCTCTCCAGGTAAACATATACTGTATACATACATATGTTGGACTTACGAACAAATGGACTTACAAACGACCACTCAGAACCAAGCCTGTTCGTAAGTGAGTGACTGTACTCAATTCTCTTGCATTCACTGTAACTCCTAAATTTATATTTATAATCATCTAAGAGATTATTATTTACAATCACCTAAGAGACTGTATATATAAAATCACTAAATTTGTCATTGAGTTATTTATCTTAAGTTAGCCCAAAATGCTCTGCATATTAAGGGGCTAACTGCATGCACACCTAAATGCCATTCACCTCTGTACAAACACTATCATGCTCAAGTATCTTATCTTACATCACAAACAGTTGATGAACCAATACCATACATGTGTCACAGCTTTTGCATGACAACACCTCAGACCAGTTTTTTTCAAATTCTACCTTATCTCGTATCTATATGGACTGGTGTTTACACTTGGCACCACCACTGAAACTTGCATCTTTCTGAGAAGCTATAGCAAAATAAACTAAAAAATCAAGGGGTCACAACCAACAACTGCAGTGTAAACAACATAAGAGAGAGCAGGCTACACACAATGCTATCTGTATCACCCTTGTAATTTTGTCCAAACCAAAGGAGGTGCTGGTACATTCACTGCTGGGAAATCAGTGTTGTACCTGTAGTATGAGTGAATATTATATATACTGAGTAACTTAAAACTTTTGAAAAGTGCGGGCATGTGTTGTCTAGTACTAGACTGTGTGATCATTTGCACAGCTATTTTTTGTTGAGTTATTATTGGCTTCAAGTATTTTGCAATATATCTCTGGGCACAAATACCATAGGTAAGGTAAGGATAGATTAGAGACTAGTACAACATAAGTAGTGCTGTTTGAGATATACAGTAACAGTAACAAGTCTTTGAGAGGATGCCGATTGATTTGGAGACCTCCTTTATTATGTGTTGGATTAAATCACTGAATTTCAAATTGCTGTCAGGGTACAAACTTTAGAATTTTCCCTTGTTTTGTCTCTCTCTCTCTTATTTTTTATTTATTTTTTTTTTGATTAAAATGATGCCTCTCAGGTTTACTGGGAGCCATCAGTGATTTCCTTCAATCACTTTCAACATCCCCCTTCAGATGGCTGAGGTATATTACTTTCGAGTCCTTTGCTAAGAATTCATGTATCCTCCCCTGTGTCCTAGAGCAGATGAGGAAAATGTTAGAATGCTGTTTGCTTACCAATACAGAGCAGACATCCAAGCTTATGCTTAATTTATCTTGAAGTCTTGTCTTATTTTTTAACCATTTCAGGGTCAGAACAACTGATTTGAAACTTGCTAACCATGTCGGAGAATTAAAAAAAAAAAGTTTATTTTTTTCTTATGAAATGAGAGAGAATCTTTTTTCTGAGGGTATTGAAACCAAAAGTATGAAATTTCATGGAAAACTTATGGAATTACACTCTCACAAATTTACCAGTCTCTGCGATATTTATGCACTGGTGATTTTGCATAATCTGAGCCTTATTTTCAGCCAATTCCATCATTCCAGTTGACCAAACTCGTAGCTATTTTGTTAGTATTCCTTCTATTCTAATGACTGAGTACAACAAACTGCCCATTTACTTATTTCAAATACCCAATAAAGTGATCAGAAATTGAAAATTTAGCCAATTTCACACAAAATTAAAAAATTGCTAATTTCACAATAGAGTCCAAAATGAACAATGTAGACATTCCTGGTACCAAAACAACATTTGTGAATGCATGTTAGACTGACCAGTTGTACACATATTGGAAGAGTGATGTAATTTGTGTAACTGGAATACTGGCATAAATCAAACATTTCTGCTACTTTGAGCTCAATTTCAAGTGACTTTCAGTCCAGAAACCGATGAAAATCATGTCTACTTCTGTAATATATCTTCCATTCTATCAAATAAGACCAAGAAACCGAGAATACAACCATAAAAACCACATGAAAATGCACCACAAAGTTGCTGTTTTAAAGCAAAAATCATGGTCGCAGTTTTTTCCCAGTATGCATTGCTTGCTGCAGGATTTTTTTTTGTATGGTGCACACTTCCTGCACAGACCCATTTTCTCTTATCTAGGCCCAAATTTACTGCTCACAGTTTATCTGAGAGTGCTGAGTTCATCACATAGAACAATGGGACTGACCTGTACTTCAATGCCATAGTACAATGGGACCCACCCCAAAAGGGTTAAGATCCAAGAAATTTTATATCCTGTGATGATGTAGCAATTAATTACACACTGGAATGGCATGGATTTTTTCCTAAACAGCTCTGATTATAACATGGAAGTGCATGGAAAAATGGAGTTAGTTAAGCGTAAATTTTGCTTACGTAAGTTTTCTCTGGAAAGCCTCTGTCAGTAAGTTGATCAATGAACTAAAATTACACATACTGCTGATAAATACACAGTTACTTAGCCTCTAAACTGTATCCAACATACTAGTATGCAACTGATGACTGTGTGTCCAATGTACTAGTTTGCACATTTTTGGTACCTTCAAATCTTCCATCTGCCAATATTTTTGACCTCATCATAACTCTTTGAGTCTTCTATAATCTCTTCATATCTTAGAGAAAAAAATCAAAGGCCAGCAGGGTCCACACAGTGTATCATGGTTAACTACATGGGTGATGACTATGACCAATGTGCTAGTATGCCTAACTAGAATAAGTAAACAATGAAATCAAGTGCTGTTGTTTCACCACCAGCTTCCCTACCAGCAAACATGGTGTAGTGACGTGAAGATGACTAATTTATTCCAAATTTATTACAATTTCACGATACTAACAATGGAATTCAACCACCAAGCACACTATATTTAACTCAGGATAATAAAATAAAATAAAACAATGTGATATATTTCCATGTTTTGAGGAGTACTGCACCGTAAAGCAATTGTAATATTATAAGTAGTCCTTGTAAATGTAGTTAAAAGACCAAAGTAGTCAAAAATAGAATAAAAAACAATTATTTCATCAATATATATACCGTATACTCAAAGAGAAGCAATGTCCAATTAAGCATTTTCCCATGTCTGGAGAGCTAAAATATGTTTAAACACATCAAATACAGTGGTACCTTGACTTACGAGTTTACTTCGTTCCATGACCGAGCTCATAACTCAATTTGCTTGTACAGTGGTCCCTCGCTTTTCGTAGTTCTTGGGAATCATAGATTTCGGAAATCATAGGGATATTTTCGTATAAACATGGGCTCGCTTTTCGTAAGTTGACTCGTGAGTAGTAATTCGTCCGGGACGCGTACACACGGTGTGAGCCGGGGCGGCAGCCAGTCTGGTATTGTTTACCAGTAAGCGAAGGTCCCCTCACGTGCTCCAGCGAAATATTTCATAATATTCCATTTATTTTAGTGCTTGCAAGTACTAAATAAGCTACCATGGCTCCAAAGAAAGCCCCTAGTGCCAAGCCTGTGGTAAAGAAGGTGAGAAATACGACTGAATTTAAGAAAAACATCATTGAATAATATGAAAGTGGCACAAGTGCGGCCGAACTGGCCAGGATGTATAAGAAACCCTACACAACCATATGTTCCATAGTGGCCAAGAAAAAGGAAATCAAGGATGCTGTGTTGCAAGGGGGTAACTATGTGACAAAAATAGATACCAGTACTCGAAGAGTGAGATTATATGGTTGGAAAATGAGAAACCAATTGCAGGAGATACTCTTATGACTTCGATTATTTGTGAAAGGTGGCATTGCACAACGATCTGGTAACAGAATATTGCCTGAAAAAGTGGTGTGAGGAATTTAAGACCGCAAGTGTTGGTTTGAGAGATTTAAGAACACGTACTGGCATAACAGGTGTGTAAGCTGCTGAGCTGACCAGTTGGGACTACAAGGCGCATGAAAATATGTGCATGAATCAGGAGTTCATAGAGGCTTGAAGGACTGAAACCTGAACAAGTGTTCAATTGTTGTATGAAACTGCCTCTTTCAGGAGAAATGCCAAAGAGGTCCTTCATTACACAGGGAAAGCAATGCCAGGTCACAAGCCTATGAAAGACAGCTGACGCTAAATGTTCTGGCTATGCAAGTGGGATTTCAAATTGAAGCCATCACTAGTGTAGCATTCTGAAAATCCCAGAGTGTTCAGGAAAAACAATGTTATGAAGAGTAAATTGTGTGTGTTTTGGAAATCTAATAGTAAGGCATGGGTCACGAGGGAAATTTTCGTTGAGTGGTTCAATGAAGTGTTTGGCCCTAGTGTGAAGAATTACCTCCTGGAAAAGAAATTGGATCTCAATTGCCTGCTAGTAATGGACAATGCACCTGCTCATCCTCCAAACTTGGATGACCTAATTTTCGAGGAGTTTGGGTTCATCACAGTGAAGTTCTTGCCCCCGAATGCCACTCCTCTCCTCCAGCCCATGGACCAGCAGGCCATTGCAAACTTTAAAAAACTCGACACCAAAGCAATGTTTCACAGGTGCTTGACTGTGACCACAGACACTCACTTGACCCTAAGGGAATTTTGGAGAGAACACTTCAGCATCCTCCATTGCATAACCCTTATAGGTATGGCTTGGGAGGAAGTGACTACCAGGACTTTGAACTCTGCTTGGAGAAAACTGTGGCCAGATTGTGTCGACAAGAGGGATTTTGAAGGGTTTGGGACTGACCCTGATGAGCCTATGTCTGTTGTTAAATCAATTGTGGCACTGGGGTTCCATGGGGTTGGATGTGAGTTTGGAGGATGTGGAAGAATTGGTGGAAGACCACAACGAAGAGCTCACCACTGAGGAGCTGCAAGAGCTTCAGCAGGAACAGCAACAGATCGCAGCTCAGAATCTTGCTGCAGAGGAGGAGGAAGAAAGATGGAAGAAGGTGCCTTCTTCAGAAATTAAAGAGACTTTTGCTATGTGGGGTAAGATGGAAAGCTTTATGGAGAAACATCACCCTGACAAAGTTGTTGCAAGCCATGTTGGCAACATGTACAGTCTTGGGCCATTTTAGGGAAGTGTTAAAGAGACGCCAGAAACAGAGCTCTCTCCACAGTTATTTTGCGAGACAGGACTCCAGTGACTCTCAAGGTGGTCATAGTGGCATTAAGAAACAGAGAAGAGAAGCAACCCCAGAAAAGCAAATGGTACCTGAGGTGTTGATGGAAGGGGATTCCCCTTCCAAACTATAAACAATCCAAATTCTCTCCTCCTCCAGTCTCCCATACACTAAGAAGAATCTCCAATAATGGTAAGTGTTATGCTGTTAATGTTTCATTCATCATTTCCCATTGTATTGTTTATGTACTATATGTGTATCTCATGTAAATTTTTTTTTTTTTGTTTTAATACTTCTGGGTGTCAGGAACGGATTAATTGTATTTACATTATTTCTTATGGGGAAAATTAATTCGCAAATCGTTGATTTTGTTAATAGTAGCAACTCCAGGAACGGATTAACTACGAAAAATGAGGGACCACTGTACATCAAATCAATTTTCCTCATTGAAATTAACTGAAATACCATTAATCCATTCTAGCCCCCAAAAAACCACCCCAATTTTTTTGTTAAGGGTTTTTAAATACAAAAAATGTATTTATAAATAAGAAATATTTTATAAAAACATAATAAAACATAATAAAAGAGAATGTAAAGAAATAAATTGGTTTTATAAAATGTATTTACCTTGGAGATCACATGACTTGGGCTAATGGAAGATGCTGGCAGAGGTACAGGGTAGAAGAGATAGGCAGAGGAGATTGGAAAAGAGAGGCAGAGGAGTTTTCTGGGCATTTCATTTCAATAAACTCTGAAAGTCTCTCCCAGATTCCCCACATTTCTGGCGATTAAAGCAAGCTAGCTAGCTAGCTAACTGGCTGGCTGGCTGGCTGGCTGGCTGGCTGGCTGGCTGGCCATGTGGCTGGCCATGTGGCTGGCCAGCTGCTGGCAGCCTGGCTGGCTGGCTATGTGGCTGGCTATGTGGCTGGCTATGTGGCTGGCTATGTGGCTGACTATGTGGCTGGCCAGCTGCTGGCAGCCTGTCTCTATCTCCATTTGTCTGTCTGTATCTATGTCTATCTCTGTCTGTCTCTCTCTCTTTGTCTCTATCTGTCTATATCTCTTTCTATCTCCCCCCCCCCCCCCCCCCCGTATCTCTGTCTCACAGGTACACATAATACAAGGTTATGGACAAGTCACGGCAGCGTCTTGCAGCGCATCCTACCAGCTTTTCTTCCTCAAAAAACATCGCTCATCAAAACTTGTGATGGCCTAAGTGAAAGTTCAACTACATGAACCCACGTAGACCACAAAATGACCCAAGAATACTAAGGAATGTAACCCAAATCATGACAAAAATAGAAGATATAAGGAAGACAGGCCATGCTACCCAAACATGCTCCGCTGCCAGACAACACTTAACCCAAGCTCCGGAGGGGAAAACAAGCCTTCTCCATTGTACCACAGTATCTACTCAGTGATTTACTATGAAAGGATTATCTCAGAATTAACAACATCAGTAATAAAGCATAACAGCAAAGGAACCT